AACCTCTGAGTGTTTGTGTAATAATGTACCTTGTAAAATACTTGACGTGTGTATCACACTATGAAGACATTTTTATGCGTACATTTTTCTTATTATTTCATTTAATATTAATTCCAAGAACTAGATTTACTGGGTCAAAGGTTATGAACATTATGAATATATATTTTTTGGCATTGGTCTCCAGAAAAGTTGTATTGGGAAGGGCCAGCTGTGCCTTTTTTTTAGTTTATTTTTTATTTTTATTTTTTATTTGAGACGGAGTCTTGCTCTGTCGCCCGGGCTGGAGTGCAGTGGCCGGATCTCAGCTCACTGCAAGCTCCGCCTCCCGGGTTTGCGCCATTCTCCTGCCTCAGCCTCCCGAGTAGCTGGGACTACAGGCACCCACTACCACGCCCGGCTAATGTTTTTGTATTTTTAGTAGAGACGGGGTTTCACTGTGTTAGCCAGGATGGTCTCCATCTCCTGACCTTGTGATCCGCCTCCCTCAGCCTCCCAAAGTGCTGGGATTACAGGCGTGAGTCACCGCGCCTGGCAGCTGTGCCTTTTTTATTTCTGTTTTTTAGGCAAGCAAAAGATACTGAAACCTTTTTTGATTTTTGATATATTTTTAGCATTATAGATTTAAAATATTTGCTTCTTTAATAAGTGAAAATGCTATTTCTGAGGTTTTAAAAAATAGACTTTATTTTTTAGAGCATTTTTTTGGTTCACAGCAAAATTGAGCATATACTCTCTGCCCCCACACATGCGTAGCCTCTCCCACTATCAACATCCCACACCAGAGTGATATGTTATAATAGTATGATTTGTACTTCTTGTTTCTTTGCTTACTAGAAAAGTTGAACCTTTTTTAAAATGTGTTTTTTTAACAGCCCTGTTTTTGGGGAAGTTGCTTCATTTTCATCTGGTCTTGGTTGATGAAATAAAACCATATAATTGAAAGATGGTTATACTCTGTCATTTTCTGAACTGTCTGTTTGTTCTGTTATTGAGATTGGAGTTTTTGCTTTTGTCGATCAGGCTGGGAGTGCAATTGGGTCGTGATCTTCAGCTCACTACAAGTCTCCACCTCTGGGAGTTAAGCAATTCTTCCTGCCCTCAGCCCTCCTGATGTAGCTGGGACTTACCATTGGACCTGTGCATCCGGCAGCTCTGGCTAATTTTGTATTTTTTATAGAGATGGGGGTTTATACTCATGCTTGGGCCAGGGCTGGTTCTGTAGACTCCCTGGACCTCAGGTGATTCCACCTGCCTCAGCCTCCCAAGTGCTGGGATTATGCGGCCGTGAGCCACCACGCCCCAGCGTCCTAGTAGTGTCTAATGACATGGTGTATTAGCACTGTGGGTGTTCTCTAGCTTTGGTTGTTGGGGGAATTTGGTGGTCATATATTAGAAAATTTGCGTGCATAACAAGCCATCTGGGTGAGACTTACGTACCCCAAAGATGTTTGAGAACCTCTGGTCTTATGCCTTACTATAGGCAAAGGTTTGCACCACTACATGGAAAAAGAATAAGTGTTACTTTCTATTGACTCTAACTAATAGGTGTTACTTCCTATTAAGAGAGAGTGCATGAGAGCTTGCCAGCGCCTTCTCATCAGTGGAAGAGTGCCAGAACCACATTAGTCAGATGTGAAGTTGCCTTGCAAGAATGTATTCAGATGACTCACATTTTGTCATTCACAGGTGATTGTAACTAGTTTGTATTCCTCTTCATAGAGCAGGTTCATTGAGAAAAAGCTGGAAGCTACAGAAATAATAGATAGGTCTTGAAATTCTAAATTCTTTCTGGTGAATTTTTTTTTTTTTTTTTTGACGGAGTCTTGCTCTGTTGCCTAGGCTGGAGTGCAGTGGCACGATCTTGGCTCACTGCAACCTTCGCCTCCTGGATTCAAGTAATTCTTGTGCCTCAGCCTCCTGAGTAGCTGGGACTACAGGTGTGTGCTATCATGCCCGGCTAATTTTTGTATTTTTAGTAGAGATGGGGTTTCACCATGTTGGTCAGGCTGGTCTCGAACTCCTGATCTTGTGATCCACTCGCTTCGGCCTCTCAAAGTGCTGGGATTACAGGTGTGAGCTACTGCGGCCGCCCAGTGAAATTTTCCTTTTTACTGTCAATGCCGCAAGCAGGTTTCCACTAAGGGAAACACAGAATATGTACATTCCTAATTTCTTTTTCTTTTTTACTAAGAAGTTTGAAAATCCAGAAAAAAATACACAAGTATTTTCTTTATGTATGTTATACTTCAAAAAAAGAAAAGAAAATATAGTTAAGAAGAGGGAGCACAAAAACAAATTATGTAAGCATAATTACATCTCTACTTGGGCTTTTCCTATTCATTTCCTGCAAATTGTTAGTACATCAGAAACCATCAAAATTCCTAGAAATAAATAGTAACAAGCAGATACCCAGGAATATAATCTCAAGAAACCCTTGGATTGACGCAGAAGGCAAGAGAAGGTGGTGGTTTAGTGTGCCTGTCTCCATTCTGTTCCCAATCCAGGTGCCACCTTCCTGAACAGTTGGGATAGGCAGGCAGGAAGGCCTGGGGAGCCAGCAGGATCCCATGGTTAGGAGTCTCAGGAGGAGGGTCCAGGCTCACACCTGTGAGTGAGCCTGCCCCATGGAGGGGTGGAGGGGTTGTAGGGTGGGCTTGTTCCCCACTGCCTCTGGGCTGGGAGAGCTGAGGGAATAGGATGTAAAGAGGCATCCTCCTGGTACCTCACCTGGAGACAGGCCCTGTGCTTCCCACTGGCTGCACCACCAGCCCATAAGCCCCTTCCACTACTATCAAGACTACCTACTTAAGGCACTCCAGTGACTAGAGAGAGGAAAGTCACATCACATCTAATGGGGCCCTGCAGCCACAAGGAGGAAGAATAAGCACTGCCCTTAACACAGGTGCAGATGAAATAGAAAACAGGTAGGCTTTGAATAAAAAAATAATTCCTACATTTAAGGAGATCCAAGTGTCACATAACATTTCTTCTTGAACTTAAATTTCTAAAAGTCAGTAGATGGACAGGAGGGCAGAGGAAGATGGCAGAATAGAAGCCTCCACCAGTTGTCCTCCCCACATGAACACCAAATTTAACAACTATCTACAAAATAAAGCACCTTCCTAAGAACCAGAAAGCAGGTGAGCGATCACAATACCTGATTTTAACATCATGTCACAGAAAGAGGCACTGAAGAGGTAGGAAGGACAGTCTTGAATCACTGACACCACCCCTCCCCCGTCCCCCGTCAGCAGACCACGTGGCTCAGAGAGAGTCTGTGTGCTTTGGGGAGGGAGAGTGCAGTGTTTATGGGACACTGTTTTGGAATCCAGGGCGGCCAACCAGCGGTGATAACCAAGTAGTGTGCCATGGGCCTTGGGCAAGAGTCTGAGACATTCTGGCTTTAGGGGTGCCTCTACACATTCACAGCTGTGGTGGCTGTCAGGAGAGACTCCTTCTGCTTGAGAAAAGCAGAGGGAAAAGTAAAGGGGACTTTGTCTTTGGCTTAGGTACCAGCTCGGCCACAGTGGAGAAGAGCACCAAGCAGGCTTTTGGGGTCCCTGACTCCACGCCTTGGCTCTTGGACTCTTGGATCTCTAGATGTACCCTGGGCTAAATGTGGGCCCCACTGCTCTGAAGGGTGAGTCCCAGGCCTGACAGGATTCACTACAAGCTGAATGAAGAGCCCTTGGGCCTTAAGTGAACAATGGCAGTAGTCTGACTTTATTCCCTGTGGGCATGTGGTGGACACGGGGAGACTCCTCACCCTGGGGGAAGGGGAGGGAAGAGTGGGAAGGACTTTGGTGGTTTCAGCACTAGCTCAGCCGCAGTAGAATAGAGTACCAGGTAGATTTCTAAGGTTTCTGATTCTAGGCTGGGGCACCTGGACAGCGTCCCTGGACCTGCCTGGAGCCTGGGGGAACTCGTTGCCTTTAGGGGAAGGACAGAAGTCTGGCTGGCTTCACCACTTGCTGATTGTAGAGCCCTAGGGCCTTGAGTGAACATAGGGGTGGCCATGTAGTGATTATAGCAGGCTTTGAGCAAGATTCGGTGCTGTGCTGGCTTTAGGTCAGACCCATCACAGTCCCGGTGGTGGTGGCTACAGAGGTGCTTGTGTACCCCTTCCCAGCTCCAGGTAGCTCAGCACAAAGAAAGAAAGACTTTTCTTGTTTGGGAGAAAGTAAGGGAAGAGAATGAGAGTCTCTACCTGGTAATCCAGAGAAATGTTCTGGATCTTTTCCAAGACCGCAAAGGTAGTACTTCTACAAGTATGCAAGAACTACAGTGTTATTGTGCTTGGGGTACCCCCTAATGCAGATATGGTTGTAGTGACCGAAAACTTAGATTACTTAACACCCAAGTCCCTTTGAATATCTGGAAAGCCTTCCCAAGAAGGATGGGTACAAACATTGACTAACATCCACAAGCATCAAGACCATGTAAGAAAACATTACCTCACCAAATTAACTAAATAAGACACCAGAAGTCAATCCCAGAGAGACAAAGATATGTGACCTTTTAGATAGATAATTCAAAATAGCTGTTTTGAGGAAACTCAAAGAAATTCAAGATAACACAGAGAAGGAATTCAGAATCCTATCAGATAAATTTAACAAAGAAATTGAAATAATTGGCCAGGAGCAGTGGCTCACACCTGTAATCCCAGCACTTTGGGAGGCCAAGGCAGGTGGATCACCTGAGGTCAGAAGTTCGAGACCAGCCTGGCCAACATGGTGAAACCCCATCTCTACTAAAAATACAAAACTTAGCTGGGTGTGGTGGCGGGTGCCTGTAATCCCAGCTACTCAGGAGGCTGAGGCAGGAGAATCGCTTGAACCCAGGAGGCAGATGTTGCAGTAAACCAAGATTGTGCCACTGCACTCCATCCTTCTGGAAAGAAAGAAAGAGAAAGAGAGAGAGAAAGAAAGGAGGGAGGGAGGGAGGGAGGGAAGGAAGGAGAGAGAGAGAGAGGGAGAGAGAAAGGAAAAGAAAGAAATAGAAAAAAAGAAAAAGAAAGAAGGGAGGGAGGGAAGAAAGAAGGAAGGAAGGAAGGAAAGAGAGAGAGAAAGAGGAGCTGGGATGAGCTGTGCTCCTGGAGGAAGCAAGGGAGCCCAGCTGGAGCCATAGCCAGTACAGTGGTAGCAGTTGGACTGACCATTGCTGCTGCAGGATTTGCAGACTGTTATGTTTTGCAAGCCATGAAGCATATGGAGCCTCAAGTAAAACAAGTTTTTCAAAGCCTACCAAAATCTGCCTTCAGTGGTGGCTATTATAGAGGTGGGTTTGAACCCAAAATGACAAAATGGGAAGTAGCATTAATACTAGGTGTAAGCCCTACTGCCAATAAAGGGAAAATAAGAGATGCTTATCAACGAATTATACTTTTAAATAATCCTGACAAAGGAGGATCTCCTTACATAGCAGCCAAAATCAGTGAAGCTAAAGATTTACTAGAAGATCAAGCTAAAAAATGAAGTAAATGTATGATGAATTTTAAGTTCATATTAGTTTATGTATATGAGTACTAAGTTTTTGTAATAAAATGCCTCAGAGCTACAATAGAAAGATGAAAGAAAGAAAGAAAGAGAAAGAAAAAGAAAAAGAGAAAGAAAGGAGGGAGGGAGGGAGGAAGGAAAGAAGGAAGGAAGGGAAGATAGAGGGAAAGACAGAAAGAAAGAGAAAATTAAAAAGAAGCAGAAATTCTGGAGCAGAAAAATGCTAGTGACATACTGAAGAATGCATCAGTCTGTTAGCAGAACTGATCAAACAGAAGAAAGAATTAGTGAGCTTGAAGCCAGGCTATTTGAAAATACACAGAGGAGACAAAAGAAAAAAAAGAATGAAAAAAGAATGATGCACAAGATCTACAAGATCTAGAAAGTAGCTTCAAAAGGATAAATCTAAAAGTTACTGGTTTTTAAGGGGAGGTAGAGCGAGAGATAGTGGTAGAAAGTTTATTGAAAGGGATAACAGAGAACTTCCCAAACAAAAGATATCAAAATTCAAGTACAAGAAATCAAAATTCAAGCACAAGAAGGTTATAGAACACCAAGTAGATTTAACTCAAAGAAGACTACCTCAAGGCATTTAATAACCAAACTCCCAAAGGTCAAGGATAAAGAAGGGATCCTAAAGGCAGCAAGACAAAAGAAACAACATACAATGGAGCTCCAATACGTTTGGCAGCAGACTTGTGGCATGACATATTTAAAGTGCTAAAGGATAAAAACACTTAGCATAAAACCTACCATAGTGTATCTGGTGAAAATATCCTTCAAATATGAAGGAGAAATAAAGACTTTCCCAGACAAACAAAAGCTGAGGGATTTATCAACACCAGGCCTGTCCTACAAGAAATGCTAAAAGGAGTTCTTCAACATGCAAGAAAAGAATGTTAATGAGCAATAAGAAATCATCTGAAGGTACAAAACTCACTGGTAATAGTAAGTACACAGAAAAACCCAGAATATTATAATACTCCAATTGTGGTATGTAAACTATTCATTATCTTAAATAGCAAGATGAAAAGATGAACCAACCAAAAATAATAACAACTTTTCCAGACATAGACAGTACAATAAGATATGAATAGAAACAATGAAAAGTTAAAAAGTGTGGAGATGATGTTAAAGTATAGATTTAGCAGCACTTCTGAATATATATGTAATATATATATGTGAAAATAAAGTATAGAGTTTTTACTACTTTTCTTTTTGCTTGTTTGTTAGTTTGTTTGTAAGTGCCTACATCAAAAAAGAAGAAAATCTTCAAATAAACAATCTAAGGATATGTCTTAAAGAATCAGAAAAGCAAGAGCAAACCAAACTCAGTGGAATAAAGGAAATAATGAAGATCAGATCAGAAATAAGTGAAATGAGAACAATACAAAAAAATCAATGAAACAAAAAGTTGGGTTTTTGAAAAGATAAGCAAATTGACAAACTTTAGCTAGACTAAGAACAAAACGGAAAAGACCCAACTAAATAAAATCAGAGATGAAAAAGAAGACATTACAACCGGTATCACAGAAATTCAAAGGATCATTAGAGGCTACTATGAGCAACTATATGCCAAAAAATTAGAAAACCTAGAATAAATGGATAAATTCTTAGATACATACAACCTACCACAATTGAATAATGAAGAAATCCAAAACCTGAACAGACCAGTAACAAGTAATGAGATTGAAGCCATAATAAAAAAAGCCTCCTAGCAAAGAAAAGCCCAGGACCCAATGGCTTCACTGGTAAATTTTACCAAACATTTAAAGAGAATTAATAGCAATCATACTGTAACTATTCTGAAAAGTAGAAGAGGAGGAAATATTTCCAAACTCATTCTGCAAGGCCAGTATTACCTTGGTACCGAAATTAAACGAAGAAGCAAAAACAACAACAACAACAACAAAACCCCAAAAAACAATAAAAAACCTACAGGCCAATATCCCCATTGAATATTGATGCAGAAACCCTCAACAAAATACTAGGAAACGGAATTCAGCAACACGTTAAAAAGATCATTCATAATTACCAAGGGGGATTTATTCTAGGGATACAAAGATGGTTCAACATATGCAACCAGTCAGTGTGATACATCATATCAACAGAATGAAAGACAAAAAACATATGATGATTTCAACTGATGCTGAAAAAACATTTGATAAAATTCAACATCCCTTCATGAGAAAAGCCCTCAAAAAACTAGGTATACAAGGAACACATCTCAACATAATAAAAGCCATATATAACAGACCCACAGTTAGTATCATACTAAATGGGGAAGAATGGAAAGTCTTTATGTAAGATCTGGAACACGAAAAGGATGCCCACTTTTACTACTGTTATTCCACATAGTACTAGATGTCCTAGCTAAAGCAATCAGATGAAGGAAATAAAGGGCATTCAAATTGGAAAGGAAAAAGTCAAATTATTCTTGTTTGCAGATGATACGATCTTATATTTGGAAAAGCCTAAAGACTCCACCAAAAAACTCTTAGTACTGATAAACAAATTCAGTAAAATTTCAGAATACAAAATCAACATACAGAAATCAGTAGCATTTCTATATGCCAATGGGGAACAATGTGAAGAAGAAGTCAAGAAAGTAATCTCATTTACAATTGCTATAAATAAAATTAAATACTGGCCAGGTGCTGTGGCTCACGCCTGTAATCCCAGCACTTTGGGAGGCCAAGGTGGGCAGATTACTTGAGCTCAGGAATTTGAGACCAGCCTGGGTAACATGGCGAAACCCCGTCTCTACCAAAAATACAAAAAAATAGCTGAGCATCGTGGTGCGTGCCTGTGGTCCCAGCTACTTGGGAGGCTGACCTGGGAAGATTGCTTGTGCCTTGGGGGCAGAGGTTGCAATGAGCCAAGATCGCGCCACTGCTCTCCAGCCTGGGTGACAGCACAAGACCCTGTCTCAATAATTAAATAAATAAATATAGGCCAGGCACAGGGGCTCATGCCTGTAGTCCCAGTACTTTGGGAGGCCGAGGCAGGTGGATCAGTAGATTGAGACCATCCTGGCTAACACGGTGAAACCCTGTCTCTACTGAAAATACAAAAAAAAAAAAATTAGCCGGGCGTGGTGGCAGGCACCTGTAGTCCCAGCTACTTAGGAGGCTGCGGCAGGAGAACGGCGTGAACCCGGGAGGCAGAGGTTGTAGTTAGCTGAGATCGTGCCACTGCACTCTAACCTGGGCAACAGAGCAAGACTCCATCTCAAAAATAAAAAATAAAAGTAAATAAATATATACATATATGCACATACATACCTATGAATTAACCAAAGAAGTGAAAGATCTCTGCAATGAAAACTATAAAACATTGATGCGAGAAATTGAAGAAGACTCATAAAAATGGAAAGATATTCCATGGTCATGGAATGGAATACATAATATTGTTAAAATGTCTGTACTACCCAAATCAATCTACAGATTCAATGCAATCCCTATCAAAATACCAATGGCATTCTTCACAGAAATAGAAAAAAAAAAAATCCTAAATTTCATATGGAACCACAAAATACCAAAAAAGCCAAAACCATCCTGAACAAAAGAACAAAACTGGAGAAGTCACATTACCTGACTTCCAATTATACTACAGAGCTACATTAACCAAAACAGCATGGCACTGGCATAAAAATAGATACATAGAGCAATGGAACAGAATAGAGAACCCAGAAACAAATCCATACATTTACAGTAAAATCCTTTTTGAAAAGGTGCCATGATCATGCAATGGGGAAAGGACAGTCTGTTCAATAAGTGGTGCTGGGAAAACTGAATATCCATATGCAGAAGCATGAAACTAGACCCCTATTTCATACCGTATACAAAAAATCAAATCAAAACGGATTAAAGATTAGAGAGAAGCAGAAAAAATAACTATTGGGTACTGGGCTTAATGTACAGAATCTGTACAACAACACATTAAACTCAGTACCCAATAGTTGTGTTTAATTATCTTACAGAAATAATCTGTACAACAAACATCCATGGCATGAGTTTACCTATGTAAAAAACCTTCACATATACCCCCGAACCAAAAATAAAAGTTGAAAAAAAAACTAAATCTAAGACCTCAAACTATGAAACAACTAAAACAAAACATTGGATAAACTCTCTAGGACATTGGAGTGGGCAAAGATTTCTTGAGATATACCCTACAAGCACAGGCAACCAAAGCAAAAATGGACAAATGGAAACAAATTAAGTTAAAAAGCTGCTGCATATCAAAAGAAACAACAAAGTGAAGGGAGAACATAGTTGCAAACTATCCATCTGACAAGGGATTAATCACCAGAATACATAAGGAGCACAAACAACTCTATACGAAAAAATCTAATAATCTATGTTAAAAATGGGCAAAAGATCTGAATAGACATTTGTCAAAAGAAGACATACAAATGGCAAACACAGGTATATGAAAAGGTGCTTAACATCATTGATCATTAGAGAAATGCAAATCAAAACTATAATGAGATACTGGCTGAGCGCAGTGGCTCACACCTGTAATCCCAGCACTTTGGGAGGCTGAGGTGGGTGGATTACTTGAAGCCAGGGGTTTGAGACCAACCTGGCCAACACGGCGAAACTCCATCTCTACTAAAAATACAAAAAAAAAATTAGCCTAGCATGGTGATGCATACCTGTAATCCCATCTACTTGGAAGGCTGAGGCATGAGAATCACTTGAACCCAGGAGGTGGAGGTTGCAGTGAGCCGGTATCATGCCACTACACTCCAGCTTGGGTGACAGTGAGACTGAGTCTCAAAAAGCAAACAAACAAACAAAACTACAGTGAGATATCATCTCACCTGAGTTAAAATGGCTTTTATCCAAAGGACAGGCAATATCAAATGCTGGCAAGGATATGGAGAAAAGGGAACACTCCTACAGTGTTGGTGGGAATGTAAATTAGTACAACCACTGTGGAGAACACTTTGGAGGTACCTCACAAAACTAAAAACAGCTACCGTATGATTCAGCAATCCCACTGCTAGGTATATATCTACAAGAAAGGAAATCAGTATATGGAAGAGATATCTGCACTCCCATTATTGCAGCACTATCCACAATAGCCAAGGTTTGGAAGCAAGCCAAGTGTCCATCAACAGGCAAATGGATAAAGAAGTGTGGTATAGATACACAATGGAGTGTATTCAGCCATAAGAAAGAATGAGGTTCTGTCATTTGCAAAAACATGGATAGAACCAGAGGTCGTTATGTTAAGTGAAATTAAATAAGCCAGGCACAGCAAGATAAGCTTCGCATGTTCTCACTCACTTGTGGGAGCTAAAAATTAAAACAATTGAACTCACGGAGATAGAGAGTAGAATGATGGTTACCAGAGGCTGAGAAGAATAGTGGGGGGTAGGGTGGAAATGTGGATGATTAATGGGTATTAAAAATAGTTAGAATTAATAAGATCTAGTATTTGATAGCACAACAGGGTGACTATAGTCAATAATAATTTAGTTGTACATGTAAAAATAACTGAAAGTATAATTGGGTTGTTTGTAATAGAAACGATAAATACTTGAGGTGATGGATACATCATTCACCCTGATGTGATTATTACACATTGTATGTCTGTATCAAAATAGCCCATGGCTGGGCATGGTGGCTCAACCCTGTAATCCCAGCACTTTGGGAGGCCGAGGTGGGCAGATCACCTGAGGTCAGGAGTTCAAGACCAGCCTGGCCAACATGGCAAAATCCCATCTCTACTAAAACATACAAAAAATAGCTGGGCGTGGTAGTGGGCACCTGTAATCCCAGCTACTCGAGAGGCTGAGGCAGGGAGAATTGGTTGAACCTGAGAGGCGGAGGTTGCAGTCGAGGCCCGCACGATCTCATGCCCACTGAGGCCCTCTTGCCAGCGAGCCAACCGACTCACGCCATCTCAAAAAAAAAAAAAAAAAAAAAAAATCCCATATACCCCATAAATATATACATCTACTGTGTACCCACAAAAATTAAAAATTAAAACAAAGTCAGTAGATGAATGAGAGGCAATCAGTTGCCCCCAAGACAAAGTAGAAGAAATCCCTGAGACATTACAACCAAAGGCAAAGAGAGAGGAACCACAAGGGAAAGGTTAAAAGCCTTGGTGGACAGATCCAGGACACCCAGCATGTCCGTAATAGGAGTTCCAGAGGAGAAAAAGAAACAGATGGAGAAGAAATACTAGTTACACAGGAGAAGAAATTTTACCTGAGTTGAAGACTTTTTGTAGAGATGTAGTCTTGCTTTATTATTATGTAGGCTGGACTCGAACTTCTGGCCTCAAGCCATCCTTTCACCTCAGACTCCCAAAGTGCTAAGATTACAGGCATGAGCCACTGTGTTAGGAATATTTTTATAAAATCACAAGTCAATACAATTCAAAATAAATAATACAAATGACTAAAAAAACCTTTACTTGTTTGAAATTGAAAAAAAAACCCCACAATTCTAAGTAATCCTTGGATTCCTAAGATATCTTTAGATCAAAGAGGAAATATTTTTTTTTTTTTTTTTTTTTTTTTGAGAGGGAGTCTCGCTCTGTCGCCCGGGCTGGAGTGCAGTGGCCGGATCTCAGCTCACTGCAAGTTCCGCCTCCCGGTTTTACGCCATTCTCCTGCCTCAGCCTCCCGAGTAGCTGGGACTACCGGCGCCCGCCACCTCGCCCGGCTAGTTTTTTGTATTTTTTTAGTAGAGACGGGGTTTCACTGTGTTAGCCAGGATGGTCTCGATCTCCTGACCTCGTGATCCGCCCGTCTCGGCCTCCCAAAGTGCTGGGATTACAGGCTTGAGCCACCGCGCCCGGCCCAAAGAGGAATTCTAAACTGCCATTAAAATATTGAAAAAAGAAAACACTCCATATCCAATCTATGGACCCAGCAAATACTGTATTATAAAGAAAATGCCGGCTGGCGCCATGGCTTACGCCTATAATCCCAGCACTCTGGGAGGTCGAGGCGGGCGGATTGCGTGAGGTCAGGAGTTCAAGACCAGCCTGGCCAACGCGGTGAAACTCCGGCTCTACTAAAAATACAAAACTTAGCCAGATGTGATGACACATGCCTGTAATCCCAGCTACTCGGGAAGCTGAGGCAGGGGAATTGCTTGAACCTGGCAGGCAGAAGTTGCACTGAGATTGTGCCACTGCACTCCAGCCTGGGCAACAGAGCAAGACTCCATCTCAAAAAAAAAAAAGAAAAGAAAAGAAAAAGAGAATGGCTTCATTACTAAGGAAGAAATACTAAAACTAAAGGAACTTAGTTTGTTTTTGTTTTTGTTTTGAGATGGAGTCTCGCTCTGTTGCCCAGGCTCGAGTTTAGTGGCACATTATCGGCTCACTGCAAGCTCCACCTCCCTGGTTCAAGTGATTCTCCTGCCTCAGCCTCCCAAGTAGCTGGGACTACAGGCGCCCGCCACCACGTCCGGCTAGTTTTTGTATTTTTAGTGGAGATGGGTTTTCACCGTGTTGGCCAGGATGGTCTCCATCTCCTGACTTTGTGATCTGCCTGCCTCCGCCTTCCAAAGTGCTGGGATTACAGGCGTCAGCCACCGCGCCCGGCCGGAACTTAGTTTTTAATGGTAAATAAAGGGACTTACTCTGGGAGGAGCCTCTAAGGTCTCTGCCTATCTAGGCCCCCTAGTTCTCTGTTTAAGTGTGCATCAGGTGACCGTTGAAAAGGAGTCTCTTATGAAAGACTGAGTTAAACATTCTAATTTTTGCCAAAAGTAGAAAATGCTTTTGTGGAAGCATGTGAATTCTTAGATGACTCGCTTAGTGTTTTTTATGTTGCCCAGGTACTCCAGGAGCAGATTCGTGCCCGGGACAACATTAGCTATGGAACTAATTCTGCCTTAAAGACCCTGGAGATGCGCCAGCTCTCCGGTTTGGGAGATCTTCGAGGAAGAGTGGCAAGGTAGGTGTTCAAATGTTGGGGTCTCTGTTCATCAAAAACCGTTTTCTATAAACTCCATTATAGTGGGGAATGTATTAAGGAAGCCCCAAAGCAAATGCCTTGCATTCCTTTAGTACATTCCCTCCCTGCTTTGGCCATAAAATCCAGTGGTAGGAGTTAAACCTGGTTGTGAGGGCGCCATGGGTTTCTTTTGTTACGAAATTGGTGTTGTCTTCATGGGAAGAAATGATGGGAGAACTCACTCAACTGACCTTGTAACTTGATAGGGTAGTACTATGTTTATTGAATCCGATAATATAAAGTTGACATAGTTCGTGTGTCGTTTTGGAAATTTAATTTTTCCTGTTATTCATTTTTATTTTATTTTCTGAAAGTATTGGTCTGGGAAAGATTGGAAACTTAGAAAAAAGATCTTTCTTCTCAGTATGAAAAGTGCTATTTTCTCAAAGTGTGCTGCGTGGACCAGCAACCTCAACATCACCGGGGAGCTTGTTAGAAATGTGCTGTCGCCAGCCCACCCTGCAACTACTGAGTTAGAATCTGCATTTTAACAAGAGCCCTGAATTCATATGCATGGGAAAGTCTGGGAAGCACTGCACCGGGACCGTGTCTAGGGCTATTTTTATCTGACTGGGACAAATTTGTTCGAAGTATTTATGGGCCTCTTCTGCCCTCTGCTGGGGCTAAGAGCCAAGTACATTAATACGTATCAGCACCGGAGCTGAGGAGCAAATGGCACTTCCCGTCAGCCTGAGGTGGCAATGAGGGTGGTCTGCAAGGAGACGGGCGGAAGAAAGAACAAGGACCTCTAGCATGCAAGGCCTCTGGAGCAGGGAGGAGTAGTGTTAGGGTGTGTTTGTGCAGACAACATGTCGAGGGTCTTGAATGCTGGGCATGTGTGTTTGGGTCCGCTGGGTAAAGATCAGTCTAATAGCAGAGGGCTGCATGGATTGGATGGGGGACAGGTTGATCACTCTCCTTCTGTGATTTTCTGTCCTCATCAGGATGAACTTCAGTATCTTTAGTGTGATCCTTGGTGATGACACCCTGTTGACTCCCTCTCCTCTCTCTCCCCTTGCACTGTACCTTTCAGCAGTGATCAACTCTTTGTTAGTCCCTGAATAAGCCATGCTTGTCTGTTGCTACACTTTTGTATGTGCTGTTCTCATACCTAGCATTCCTTTTCCTCTTCTTTTTCTTTTCTTTTTATTTTTGAGACAAGCCTCACTCTGTCGCCCAGGCTGGAGTGCAGTGGCACAATCTCGACTCACTGCAACCTTCACCTCCTGGATTCAAGCAATTCTCCTGTCTCAGCCTCCCGAGTAGCTGGGACTACAGGCACCCGCCACCACACCCAGCTAAGTTTTGTATTTTTAGTAGAGATGAGGTTTTAACCATGTGGGCCAGGTTGGCTTCTAACTCCTGACCTCAGGTGATCCGCCCACCTTGGCCTCCCAGAGCGCTGGGATTACAGGTGTGAGCCACCGTGCCCAGCCTCCTCCTCCTTTTCTAACTTCTTTTCAGTCTTTAAAGTTCAGCTGAAGTGTCACCCCCTCTGGGAGTCTTCCCTGACACCCCCACTCCATAGAGCTCTCCTAGCACTCACTGCTCTATTGAGTCTCTCTGTTGTCTTCCTCACTCTGTTGCCTTTACTGTGTTGGAGGGGGGTTCCAGATGTGTTATCTCTCTATAGCTGAGTGCCTGGAACAGTCTCTGGAAAACAGTAGATACTCAACATTCATCATCCATTTTGATGAAGAAATGACCTTGGAAACTCACTGTAAGAGTACTGGAAAACCTTAACTCTTTATTTGTGGAGTTCGGCTTAAAAGAAATACCAGCTCTGTGATACCTCTCAGAACAGCAGGGAGTTAGAAGAACTGGAGAGCTACAGGACAGAGTAGGGACTCTAGGAGGACTTTGAGGATCTTCATAGCCGCTTGAGTTGCAGATGAAGATCAAGTGATGGAATATATGTGAGAGGCTTGGTGCCCTGCATGCGATGAACAGGGCCTGCAACCACTGGTAGCTGTATCATCTCAGGGGCAAGAGCAGTGACATTGTCCTTATGATGCTGGTTCTAATACAAAGTAGAATAATTATTTTAAAACACTTTCAGGAATCTTATACTCTTCAGTTTCTTATCAACTTCTCTATCCAACTTGTTCCTTTCCTGTAACAAAAACTTTCACTCTAAAGGCATAAAAAATGTTTGTTATGAGTACTGGATATTTTTGATTTGTTTTTTAGCTACATTAGTCTTTTGCCTGGAATGCTGATGAGACTTGATTGTTGAAATGAATTCATGTGAAATAAAAATTCTTTGGAAAAGCTTCTTGTCTTTCTTGTATTGATTATGAATCGTATTGGAGGACTATGAACATTTTAAGTGGTATTCTTAAGTTACTAGATTGCTATATTATTTCATATTTAATTTTATAGTTTTTATGGGTCCATTGGTGATGTAATTAGTAGCAAAAGGGCCTTGATTTTTTTCGCTGTAAATCCAGCTCAGAGGGCAAAGGCAAGTTCTCTATGGAGGTGAGATACACATTTAGCTCACGTGGCATACCATGTTCTAAACAGGACTTGATCAGACCTGAAGGCCCGATAGATGGCCCCCTTTCTCTCTCTCTCCTCTCTCTCTCTCTCTCTCTCTCTCTGTCTCTGAACAGCTTTAGTGAGAGCTAATTCAGGTACTATATAAGTCAACTACTTAAAGCACACAATTCAATGGTTTTTAGTATATTCACATAGTCGTGTAGTCATCATCACAATTGATTTCAGAACATTTTTATCATCCAAAAGGAAACCCCATACCCGTTAGCCGTCACTCCCCATTTTTCCCCAGCCTCCCCAGTTCCCCAGTCCATGGCAGGCCTACATTCTCTCTCTAATGGATTTCCCTCTTCTGAGCATTTCGAGTGAATGTGTTCCCTTGAGACTGGCTTCTGACACTTAGCATCATGTTTTCTGGGTTCATCCGTGTTGTAGCATGTATCAGTACTACATTCCTCCTTATGGCTGCCTAGTACCTCATTGTGTACTGCATTTAAAAAACCCATTCATCAGTTGAAAGTTTGGGTTGTTTCCACTTTTGACTATTTTAAATAATGCTGCTGGGAACATTTGTCTATTTGTTTTTGTGTGCTCATAGGTTTTCATTTCCCTTGGATATGTACCTAGAATGAAAATGCTGAGTGACATGATAACTCTATATTTAACTTTTGAGGAACAGCGCAGCTAGACTGTTTGCGGAAATGGCCGCCATTTTACATTGCCCCCAGCAGTGTCTGAGAGCTCCGATTTCTTCACATCCTCACTAACAGTTGTTTCCTATCTTTTTGATTATAGCCATCCCAGTGGGTTTGAAGGGGTATCTCATTGTGGTTTTGATTGCATCCCCCTGAAGACTAATGGTGTTGAACATCGTTTAATGTGCTTACTGGTCATTGCCGTATCTTCTTTAGGGAAGTATTCAGATTCCTTGCCCATTTTTAAATTGGGTAATTATCTTTTTATTATTGAGCTGTAAGAGTTTAAAAATTATATATTCTAGATATAATTCCCTTATCAGATATCTGATTTGAAAAATTACTGTCCCATTCTAAGGGATGTCTTTTCATTCTCTTGTGTCTTTTGAAACTTAAAAATTTTTAATCTTTTCTTCAGTTGCTAGTGTTTGGGGTGTCATAGTTAAGAAACTATTGCATAATCCAGGTCACAAATATTTATGCGTATATTTTCTTTTTTAAGTTTTAAAGTTTCAGCTCTTACATTTAGGCCTTTGATCGATTTTTAGTTAATTTTTTCGTGTATGGTATAAGGTAGGGTTCCACATTTATTATTTTCCTCGTAGATATCTATTTATACCAGCAAAATATGTTGAAAAGTCTATTCTTTCCCCATCAAATTGTCTTAGCACCCTAGTTGAAAATTACTTGGCAGCTGTGAGCAGTGGCCACGTCTGTAATCCCAGCGCATTGGGAGGCCGAGGCGGACAGATCAGGAGGTCAGGAGTTCAAGACCAGCCTGACCAATATGGTGAAACCCCCATCTCTACTAAAAATACAAAAATTAGCCAGGTATGGCGGCCTGCACCTGTAGTCTCAGCTACTCAGGAGGCTGAAGCAGGAGAATCGCTTGAACCTGGGAGGCAGGGGTTGCAGTGAGTCAAGATCTCGCCACCACATGCCAGCCTGGGCAACAGAGCAAGACTCTATCTCAGGAAGGAAGGAAGGAAGGAAGGAAGGAAAGAAGGAAAGAGAGAGGAGAGAGAGAAAGAGAGAGAGAGAAAGAAAGAAAGAAAGAAAGAGAAAGAAAGAAAAGAAAGAGAAAGAAAGAAAAAATAAATCACTTGGCAATAGGTGTATAAATTTATTTGTGGACTCTCAATTCTATTGCATTGATTCCCAATTCTTTTCTTATGCTGGTGCCACACTGTCTTGATTACTATAGCTTTGTGGTAAATTTCGAAATTGAGAAGTGTGAGTCCTCCAACTTCATCCTGTTTTTTCAAGATTGTATTAGCTATTTTAAGTCCATTGTATTTTCTTATGAAATTTAGGATCAGTCCAGGTGCAGTGGCTTATGTTTATAATCCCAGCACTTTGGGAGGCCAAGGCAGGTGAATCACCTGAGGTCAGGAATTTGAGACCAGCCTGGCCAACATGGTGAAATCCCATCTCTACTAAAAAGACAAAAATTAGCTGGGTGTAGTAGCGCACACTTGTAATCTCCGCTCCTGGAGAGGCTGAGGCAGGAGAATCGCTTGAACCTAGAGGTTGCAGTGAGCCAAGATCATGCCACTGCACTCCAGCCTGGGTGACAGAACAAAACTTTGTCTCAAATTTAAAAAAAGAAGAAGAAGAAGAAATTTAGGATCAGGCTGGACATGGTGGCTCACGCCTGTAATCCCAGCACTTTGGGATGCCAAGGTGGGCAGGTCACGAGATAAGGAGTTTGAGACCAGCCTGGCCAATATGGTGAAACCTCTCTCT